AATGTTTGTCATATTTCATTAACAGATCTAATATATAATGTTTGTCATATTTCATTAACAGATCTAATATATAATGTTTGTCATATTTCATTAACAGATCTAATATATAATGTTTGTCATATTTCATTGACAGATCTAATATATAATGTTTGTCATATTTCATTGACAAATCTAATATATAATGTTTGTCATATTTTATTAACAGATCTAATATATAATGTTTGTCATATTTCATTAACTTCATTAACAGATCTAATATATAATGTTTGTCATATTTCATTGACAGATCTAATATATAATGTTTGTCATATTTCATTGACAGATCTAATATATAATGTTTGTCATATTTCATTAACAGATCTAATATATAATGTTTGTCATATTTCATTAACAGATCTAATATATAATGTTTGTCATATTTCATTAACAGATCTAATATATAATGTTTGTCATATTTCACATCAGGATTAAATCTTCTTCCTTCGTTTGGTCAAAATAAGTTTATTGGTTCATTTCTCTAGTTTTTGTTTGCCTCCAACAATCCGATGCTTTGTTGAGTCGGTCACGTTTCTGGTGCAGTGAGATTCCAAGATGGCTCTTCATAGCTGGGTGATAAAATAATACACACAGCTTACACGATTAAGGTATAAGAAAACATTGGGTTTTGTTATATTAACTTTATTCCTTGACACATATACCAGAGGTCTCTGCACTAAATATCATCAGTTGATGAAGATTAAAGGAATAACTGAACGGATTATTACCATCATAGTAAGCCATAATAGAAAGTGTAAACATGCATTCCTGACCAATATTTCAGAAAGCCTAAACTCATACATATGTAATAAAGGTTCTTTAGAAGTAATTTTTGAAATATTTACATTTATATGTTTTCAAAAATATATAAGCAAAGAAATATTTGAAACATCACATTTAACTAACATATATATATATATGTATGAATATATAAGTACAAACTGTGCATTCTCATGCTCGTAACATATACTTAAACCGGCTCTTCATTTAAACGTGCCCCCACTCCCGTCATATATGAAATCAATTCTAAATGTAAAAAAAACTAACATTCAGGTTTAAAATTTCCAATAAACCCGTCTCAATCGTAATCTAAATTCAGACGTGAAAACATTTTTTTTTGAGTACTCAGTTCGTTAATTTTAGTTATAATATATTCCTCGTGACTTTTGTTTAAGAAAAGTAACTATTACAGCCTCACTAAAGAGCGCCAGGACACTTTCATGTAGCCTTTATTTCTGTTCAGTTTCACAGATTTCAGTTTATGCTGCTGTATATTGCAACTGATCCATGAGACCGTTTCATTTCAGACTCTTCGGATGTGATACCAAAACCACTTTGTTATAGCACTGAGATGTGAAGTTAAAATAAGTGTTATGATATCAGTATCAATGTTAATACCTGGAACCAGAATTTACGTGAAAAATTACAAGTGAATGATTTAGTGGGTTCTAAAAACACTACTTTTATTAAATGTAGAACTCTGTTTTCGTTAGTTAGTTTTCACTAGTTTGTAGCATTAACAGTGGTTCTTTTCCAGACAAAAATCACGGTTCAACAGCATGGCAAAGTAAGAGATAATATGTTCAGGCAGAGGCTTAATAAATCTCCATAATAATTGGATTATCGTGCCTGCCTCAATGTAACTTAATCATCCAACATAGTGTATACTGACAAGTACACTTCACATTGTGTAATATAACTGTAACTTAATCATAATATAACTGTAACTTAATCATAATATAACTGTAACTTTATCACTCAACATAGTGTATACTGACAAGTACACTTCACATTGTGTAATATAACTGTAACTTTATCACTCAACATAGTGTATACTGACAAGTACACTTCACATTGTGTAATATAACTGTAACTTAATCACTCAACATAGTGTATACTGACAAGTACACTTAATATTGTGTAATATACGACTAAAACAATACGACCTATTCTTGCTAACAATGGTGTGATACCTGTCTTCTATTGTTTGACAAATAAACACACATGTTTATGCCCCCGATGAATCAAGATAAACTACTGTTATATCACACAACTGTAATGATAGTTACATATCAAAGCTATTAAAGCCGTTTTAAATCACCTATTATGATTAGTACGCCACTTTATAAGCCCTATAGATCACTTATTATAATTAGTACGCCACTTTATAAGCCCTATAGATCACTTATTATAATTAGTACGTCACTCTATATGCTTTATAGATCACCTATTATGATTAGTACACCACTTTATAAGCCCTATAGATCACCTGATCTATAGGGCTTATAAAGTGGCGTACTAATTATAATAGGTGATCTATAGGGCTTATAAAGTGGCGTACTAATTATAATAAGTGATCTATAGGGCTTATAAAGTGGCGTACTAATTATAATCGTACTAATTATAATAAGTTCACTCTATATGCTTTATAGATCACCTATTATGATTAGCACGTCACTTTATAAGCCTTATAGATCACCTATTATTATTAGTACGTCACTCTATATGCTTTATAGATCACCTATTATTATTAGTACGCCACTTTATAAGCCTTATAGATCACCTAATATAAT